ATTAAGGATTATTATTTGCAATTGCAACTTGCATCAAAAACTTTGACCTGAAGTATTTTAGTTTTAATAATGTAAATTCGCTAATTTTGCATATTTGCTTTAACTTATGTATTTAATATACTTATAAAGATAAAGTTAGTTAATTAAACGTTTGCACTCAATTTTTTTTCCAATAAAATGATAAAAGCAAATATGCTAATTTTTCATATCTATTTTAAATGTAATTGATTTCAAGCAATTAATAATTTAAGTTTTTTGCATGAGAATAACTAATTTAAATGTGTTTCATTAATTTCAGATTTAGAATTAATTTAATAAAATTCAATTAATAATTTTTCAATGGATCGCAAATTTTGCCTGGCAATTGCATTAGTATACACAATCATATGTGTTTCCCTTCGAGTTCGAGCGTGTGCATCTAAATTGCTTGAATCACTGGATGAAGACGATATAAAAGAACAAATAAGCGATTTATTTTCGCGAGAAAAACGACCCTGTACAGATATTAGGAAAAAAATAATAAAAGTTAGTCGGAGTCCAGTTAGATTCGATATTACTTATGATTATGGTGCTCATCCAGGTAATTCAATCACTTAATTGCAATTTATTACTTAAATAATCGATTTATATTACTTAAATAATTTATTAATTAAAATATTTGTTCTGAATCTTTGATTCAAAAATTCAAATTTAGCAGATAAGTTTCGAAGATGTAAAGCTTATTGCTGACATAACTTTATTAAATTATGATAAAAATATTTGTCAAAATTGATATATTTCTGGCCAGAGCAAATACAATTAATAAAAAACGATTAATTTAATAAAAGTATTGTAATTAATAAAACTTTGGTTATTTACGTACTAAATTGCAGTTACGTTGAATATTTTGATTAAATGTTAAAGAGCAGAACTTATTAAAATTATTTCAAAATAAAAACTAGCAAAATAAATATTGCTTTTTTAATAAATTAAAAATGTAACAGCAAAAATAAAAACTTTTATTGAAAATTAAAAACTTATATTAATTACAGAATGTGAGAGCGATGAAGAATGCTTTCCTGGCATGGAATGCAGTGAAGAAGAAGGCTGTTGTACTTAATAAAAATTATTTTTAATTATTAAACTTTATATTTAAATTATTTTGTTTTTTATTTGCCTAATTTAATTTTGTAATTTTAACACATTTGTGTATTTTAATTGGAATTAAATTTTTGCCCAAAGTGTACCAGAAATACTTTATATAGCTTTTTTATTTTAATAAAATACTCACGTTAAAATCTTGAATTTTCATTTAAATTTAAATTAAAAAAATTAGAACAATTTTTTGCCATGCATAAAAATTAAAAGAATAATAAAAAAATTTTCAAAGTTGGGCTTCAATTTAATTTTTCTATTTTCATTATTCTCTTATTAGTTTGATTTTGCTGAATCTAATCGAAAATTTTAAGTTTCGAGTTAAAATTTTAGAATTATCTGAGTTTTAAGTAATTAACTGCTTGCTTCTTCTTGCACTTTTATAAAGTTATTAGTAAAATTTTGAGGCACAATTAATTTTACATTATTTTAAAAAATTAACTCACATTGTAAGTAAATTATTAACTTTTACAATAATTAAGCATTATTTTTGTAATGTTAATGAATATTTGTTATTGAGAGTGAAAATTGCCTCTGTCATTAGCTTAATTATTCATATTCCAATAAATATTTTTTTTAATATGAAGAAAGTAATGCTTTTAGAGCTTTGCTCTCTTTCAAATTTTTCTGAAATTAAATTTAGTTTGAAATAATTTATTAGTTTTTGATAATTTTTAGTTGAAAAATTGTAAAATTTTTAAAAATTACAAAAAAACTAGTTAAAAATTGTTTCAAGTTCAACTGAGAATTTTGTTTTATTCAAATTGCTAAAATGGTTTATTCAAATATTTGTTGCATTTTGGTATCCTTTTTGTACTGCGAATATAATTATTTAAATTCGTCAAATTTCAAATTTGCGCAAATCCAAATATTGTTAATTTTTTGTTGTGATCAAAATAATTTTTTTGCTGATGCTGTTCGAGTAAATTTTTTGAATAAGTTACGTTCTTTCAAATATTTTACGTGTTGGCGACATTTGTAGTACTTAATAAATAGTTTTATTTTTATTTTTACTTTACTCGTTCATATTTTTAATGCTTAATTAATAATACTTTTAATATTACACTTATGTTCAGTGCTTAATTCAAAAACATCAATTATTTATGCCAACTACAAATTTACATAATTGCGGATTCTATGCCCAAGAATTTTCAACAGTAATTAATTATTATGCATAAAATAAAACATTACTAAAATATTACTTTACTCTTGCTAAAATTTGAATAGCAAAAAATTGCTAAATTTTGTTAAAATTTTGTACTTATAGTTTCTAATTGAATTTATTATTATTTTTAATATGAAAATAAATTTTTGAATAGAATTACTATTAGGATTTATTATTTTTTAGGCTGATTTATATTGTAACCCAAAAAAATGTTTCGTCCAATCTTTTAAGTTTTTGAATTTTTGGATGGATAATTAAAAGAATGTCATACAACTTTGCTTAAGAATTAATTTGTAAGTAGCAAAAGTTTCAGCATTAATCCATTTCAGATTCTCAAAAAAATATAATTTAATAAAATAGGGCTTTACAAAATATCAAATAAATTTTTATCAGTATAAATTCACGTGTCAATCAATCAGATACTTACACTAATTTACACGCTAAAGTAAATGAGTACGCTAATTTCCGATGTTTACTCCAATTGTTATAAATTTTTGTTGTAACATTATTGTATGTTTGACCAGACGGATTGTTTTGTGCTTTCTTCGAACAAAATAAATAATTCATCAATCGTCGAATAATCTGCAAATATGAAATTTACCATTTAATAATAAAATTTTATATTTGAATTAAGCACTTTTTTTGATCACATGAAATTCGAAATGATTAAAATCGAGTTCTGATATTTATTTTTGATAATAATGAAAGTTCAAAAACTGATTAAAATTGAGTTTTCAAATATTTATTTCTATATTTTTTAATAAAAATAATACCTGTCTGCCAACTCTTCGATATTTGGTACCTAATACAAAATAATAAATAATTGTTGTTGCACCATTAAGATTAGCGAATATAGTAGATAATTCAATTAATAATTGAAAATGAAAACTATTTGAATCAGAAGGTGAAATTTGCTCTAAAATGTTATTCGTAAATGCGATTGAATTATATACAAGAAATTGTGTGACAATTAGTACAAGCATTATTGTAATCGCTTCTTCTGTTTTGTCTGAAACGAAATAATCAGAATCAAAATACAATAAATGAAGTTTATGTTTAAATCAATCCAAAAAATACGAATAATTTCGTTAACAAAAATAATTTTGTTTAAAAATACAAAATTTAGTGAATTTAATTTGTGAAAGGTTTCAAAGAATTAATATTTATTGGAAAATAAAAAATTTTTTAGAATTATGCAAATATTTAAAATTAGAATACAAATATGTTTACCTATTTTATTGCTTACAGTACACTTTTGTCTGACAGCATCAGTGCTTCGAGCATTAAGAATCTGTACCTGTGTTGACTTTTGACTTTTTGCAGAATAATTCGCGCGACAATTTTTTTGGTGCATTCTGAATTTTGCTACAGTTTTTTAAATTATACCATTTTCTAATATTAGCAATCAGAAAATTTGAATATCAGAGAAAAAAGCTTTGCCAACTTTTTGAAAATTTATTTCATAAATAAATAAATTACTAATTTACGTTATCTTACTTTTATATTTGCTAATTTACTTTAATGCAATTGTAAAATTTAAAAGCGAATTATATTTCGGCATAATTTTTAAAATTTTGGTTTCTGATCAAGAAAAAGTATTTAGCACTTACAAAGTAGAAAATCTTAAAGCTATGACAATTTTCCAATTGATTACTGTAAGCATAATAATCGGTACTAAAAACATAACTATTATATACAGTATGATACGGTATACTATAGCAACCGTCTGATTAAGCATCAAATCTGTTGGACGAACCATTTTACTGGCACTAAAATGACAAATTTTCAAATCAAAAATGGTAGAATATTCTCAAAATCAGTCAGATGTAAAAATACGTGAAAATTTCACGTAATTCACGTCTTGTTATACTAATTAAGTGTAATTAGTTTATTCGAAAGATGTTGTTTTCAGTAATTCTGATCATAATTTTAATTGTCAGTACTTTCATTACTTAGTTAAATTTTATGGCATTTTGAAAATAAAGCCATATTTCTGAGTGCTACGAATAAGTTAATTCTTTATTTCTAATATAAAAAAGCAAAAATATCAAAAAGTAATTAT